ATAGTGACTAAAAAAAAGATGGAGGAGAAGTTATAAAAAAAAAAATCTGTGGTTAAATCTCTTTAACCATCTTTCTGATTTATTCTTTTATCACAAGAAATAAGGTGTGAGCAAATTTTAATCTGAAAAATGCTAGAGAAAAGAATTTTGGGAACCAATTAATTTTAATTGATTATTAGGTATTGAATTTATTGCCTTAAAAAATATAAAAGATGATCACATATATATATCATATATATTAGTTCTAAAAAAAATGCCTTCTTTAAGGAAATTAATAAACAAATCTTTTTGCATTTCTGAAATGAGCAATTGTCAATAATGAATAGTTATGAATAACTATTGTTTTTGTCTGTATTTTTGAGATGAGGTATTGTAATAATTTACATTATTCGGACTGTTGTCCTCATTTTTATTGTCATATTCACTCATGGCCCAGTGGATAAAAGCGTTGGTTGGATCCAGTGACTTGACCAAAAGAGTTGTGAGTTCAATACCTGGCTACTGCAGTGAACAAAAACTTGAATAGTTGAGTCAAAGAGAGATAACTGAAACATCTGAAAGAGGCATGGCATGTGGAACTAGAACAATCTACTCCTGGCGGGCAAAAGAAAACGGTTCCATTCAAAATGCCAATCAACAGCCAAAATGTCAGGAATATGGCAATAAAGATGGGGACAACATTCCAAACAATGTAAATAATGTAAATAACTATTGTTCTTTATCTTTGTTGACAACAACAACAACAATAATAATAATAAAAATAATAATAGAGAACAGTAGTTTGCAATAATACAAGTATAAAATCTGTTCTTTCAGGTATTAAAACAGAAACTTCATCAAAAAGCCCTGGGATACCTCTTGACACTCCCCAATCGGAGAACACCCTTGACGACATCTTATTCTCTACAGACACAAGCCAAAGTGTTGGCCCCACTAAGTGGAGATGTTTTATTCAGGACATCAACTCGTCACATATGTTCCTTACTTTTGTACCAGCCTCTTTCGAAGATCTACGCACACTGAAACCAGGCATTCATACAGCAACACTGCATGACAATTTAGAGATTGTCGCTGTAAATGAGTGGAACCCTTCTGTTCAAAAGACGAAACCTCAGGTTTACGAGGAAATTATCACCGGTCCAAGCCCAGTAGATGAGAAGAGTGTCTTGGAATTTGTCTCAAATCCTTCCAAGGTATGCATTATTTGTACTAGACTTCTTTGTCTCAAATCCTTCCAAGGTATGCATTATTTTGTACTAGACTTCTTGTTTGTTTCACCAGACTTTAACATTAAATGATTTTCTTGAAACATGTTATTTTGAAAATATAAACCTATATATACTATATACTGTATATAGGTGTTGATTGTGCGTGTGTGTCTGTGTTTTTTCTTCTTTTTTTTTTATAGTTTATCGCCCCTTTGTGGGTTATTTAAGGCTGAATAAATTTGGATTGTGTTGTAGCATACCTACTGACAATAATTGGTATGTACCCATTCACATAAATACAGTTCTAAATACTGTACGATGGTCTGCAGTTGGAAATTTGTCTCCTACTGTGCTGGTCAAACTCTCTGCCTCCGGACAGAGAGGATCCCCAGACAGGGCTATGTTGAAGGGTAGAGTCTCATCTCGAGGAAACAGCTAGCCAACCCTGTTTTATATGGGGTCTACAAGGAATTTTTGGCTGAGCCTACGGTCTCTGATATCCCACATTAAATTAGGCCTTGTACCACATCTGATCGTGTGGGATGATTGGTAGATATCCTGCAGTTTCAATTCACTTGACTCACTTCTAACAGTTGACTACTTCTTCTCCGTGCTGCTGGCGAATCTTATATGTGTTGTTCATGTCCTAAGTATTACCTGTCATTATTGATTATTCTATTCAGTAAACTTCCCTAGGTTACAACATTTCGGCGATGAGGATGAGATCAAAATTATAATAGATTGTAAGATATTTTTTTTTTTTTTTTTACATATGAATATTGCATTAACAATTTGTCATTCTCAAACAAAAAAGGATTTTTCCAAATACTTAACCCATAGCTGGAGGGAGGAGAAAATTCATACCTTTCTCAAAGGTATTTGTGCATAACAAACTCTACTGGAAATAGACCTCAGCATTCCAATTTCTCTTTCAGAGTTTCTATCCATTGCACCACCTGCACATCTGTAAAGCACTTTATTACTGCTTCATGATGTAGGAGTTCATGGCTCACCACAACTTCCTTTCTTTTATTATCTGTAAAAGGGAAATAGAAGTTTCCTGTTGCCTTCTCTATGATTTTGAATTCAGAATTATCCTTCTTGATTGGCTGCCATCCAAGGCTAGAGAACCACTTCTATCATAATATTTAAGCAATGTACTTTTACTGAATGCCAGTTTACAACCATATAGCACTGGGAATGCTGGTTCCAGTATGATTACTGAAGTTAAACAATGTTGAACTTGGTCAGTATTTAGATGGGTGACTGCTTGGGAATACCAAGTGCCATAAGCTTGGATGTGTGGGTGGTGTAATGGATAATGGCCTCGAATTGTTAGAGAGCTGAGTTCTAATTCCAGTTGGGTTCATTATATTTTCTTATGCACAAATACCCTTGAGTAAGGTTCCACCTTTTTCCCTCCAGCTCTGGATTGATTAGTAACACTTGTATCATTAAATTATTATTACCTAAAAAAACAAGTTGGTTACAATCTAAAAATAAATTCTGACTTTAAATAACTTGCAAAAGGCTGATAAGGGATAAAAAAAAAAATGAATCTATCAATCAAATTGAAATATGTCTTTTGATTTATTTACATTCTCTGAATTAGAAAATGCATAGAAACTAAGAATCCAAAGTAAGGGTCCAGTTTTATTGACTTTATAGAATTGATAATTTTATTATATTTTTGAAAAATAAATGCAATAAAATAAAGAAAAAACGAATCAATCAAAGAAATAAATCAAATCCAAATGAAAAATTTTTAAATTTATTTCCAGTTTAAATATAAACTGTAATATAGAATTCAGGGTCCAGTTTTATATTGGACTATACAAATTGATTTGGATTTTAATTAATTTTTGGCTTTAAATAACCTGCAAAATGGTTGATAAACCATAGAAAAACGAATCAATCAATGAAATACTGATTAAAACACAGGCATGTCTTTTAGATTTATTTTCATTCTCTGGAATATAAATGTGTAGAAACTACAGTGACCCCAATGTGAGGGATTGGTTTATATATTGATTGTAATATAGAATTGATCCCTCACTTTATATTCATATTATAATTTCTTGTTTATTAAGTTTAATTCTGATTCGCTATGAATGTTGATTTCCCCACAGCTAAACAGGTTAATTAGTAAGCAGCCATTGTTACTAAATCATCATCTCAAAAACAAAAGGAAGAAAAAGTTTCTTACAATCTAAAAATATTTTCTAATTTTAAATAACCTGCAAACTGTTGATAAACTGTAGAAAACAAAACAATTTATTTCAGAAAATAAGCAATTATGGCTCTCCACTGATTCCTTTTCTTTATTATCTCTGAATTTCCATCATTTCTTGTGAATGATAGTGGTTTTCTTTCCTGTTGCTTTCTCGATGGTTTTAAATTATTAGTTGTCCTCTTCTAAGCTTACTGCTACACAAGGCTAGAAAAGCCAGTCTACTTTGCTTTTTAATTTTTCTTATCTGAGAAATTTTGAAAAGATAGTGGTTTCCTGTTGCTTTATCAATAGTTTTGAATCCAGAGTTATTCACCTTATAGACTGGTTGCCAACCAAGGCTAGAGAGCCCAGTCCACCCTGCCATTTCCCAAGGTTCTTAGTGTAAAAGTTAACACAATGACAGTGTTGATTTCTATGTCCACACTCTATCTATAAATGTTCTAATTCCAATATTGAGCATTCTTTCCCTATAAGTATAACAAATTTTTATACAATATAAAAAAAACAGATGCAATAAATTAAATATATATAGGGTGACCCAAAAAAACAGGAATTTCTGAAGTATATATTGCCAGACATGAACAAGTGGCAACACTGCGAGACAGTGACCTTGAGCAAGTAAACATTTCGCCATTTAGAATTCAAGATGAACTTCACAGTATCCCAGCTGAGATGTTGCAGCAGTCGATGAGGAATCTCAACAGCAGATTTCAAGAATGCATTCGTACAAGAGGACGCCATCTACAGGACGTAATTTTTAAAAAATGAAAATTCCATCATTGTTTCTTAAATGGCATGTTTTAAGGTTTCAATTACTATGAAAATATTTTTCTTCCATCACTCTTGGTTTTATTGGATTGTTAAAAAGTTCCCATTTTTTGGGTCACCCTATATATATATATATATATATATATATATATATATATATATATATAATGATAATGGCTGCCCACTTGCTGCTTTAAGGATGATAAAATTTTACCTGTTTGGTTAAAGTAGTTACCACCCCAAATACCTGAACATCCCCTTTTGATAACTGGCAGTTGTTTATAGTAATACATAGCTTGGGCAACACTGTGTATGCTGAGTATCAGGAACCATTGATCCACCTTTGATCCAGTCAATTAGATACTGGACTTTTCATGGTTTGACCAGTTTCGTGGTAAGACATAGGTGGGGTTTTTAATGTCCGAATCATGTCACGATAATATGACCACTGCTTTTTCTCACAGTACTGGATGTTTTCAAGTGGTCCCTAATCTAAGCCCTGACCAAGCTCAACAGTGCTTATATATAAACTATAAAATCTCCACAAATATTCTTAAATGTCTATAATTGATAACAGAAGCCATTGGTTTATACCAACGGCTTCCCATACTTAATACGTCTCATTTTCACTCTCGTGTGGTCATGTGTGATGTCATGAGCTGCGGTGCGATTTTTGCTTCCAGCAACTCGTATGCATGAGTTTGTCGTTGCAGACTATCATTATTGTTTTGTCCATGTATTGTTTAATATATTATAATGTAATTGTCATCCTTGATAATGGCTTATGTAAGTAAAAAAAAAAGTAAAAAAATATGTATCAATATGGTGTTTTTTTTTTTTCTTTTTAATGATAATGTTATTAAGCTTATCAGATGATATAAAAAGAATTTACATAAAATAAATAGACAAAATTTGTCTATATTATTTAATGAACGTTTATATCAATATTTATATATATATATATATATATTTGGTTGGATTGATGTCACTAATTTGTTTGATGTTAGCTTTATATCTGATATTGAGTGCTTTTTTTAATAAATACCACGCATATAATATATAAATAATTAATATATATATATATATATATATATATATATATATATATATATATATATTTTAACACTTTTCACACACACATATATATATATATATATATATATATATATATATATAACTTTTAAAAACCGTTCACAAGGGTTTATAGCTTTCAATTTGGTGAAAATAACTGGTAGTTAAGGCAATTCTCAAAATTTTTTGCATAGCATCTTGAGAGGCTGTTCTGATCAACAGTTGTATAATATCAGGGTTCTTGCACTGTCATGTCACACATGGATGGGTGTTCCTGCATGCACTTCTGGTGGGCAACCCTGTGGCCACATTATGTCACAGTCTGCGCCAGTTCCTTTCTGCCCATATCACATACGATAACCATCTGCTACTAATTACATTAGACCTTTTCCTTACCAACATAACTCAACATGACAATAAACAGCCAAAAATATAAATCTAAACCAACTCAAAAAAAATCACCTAAACTCTTTAACATTTCCTTCTCCAACATCCGTGGTATTTGTACCAAATTCTCCAGTGTAGAATCATTTCTCTTCGAAAAGTCTCTTGATATAATAGCTCTCTGCAAGAATAACCTTAACTCATCAATCCCCTACTCTGTCCTTTTTGTTTCTATTTTCCTTAAAAATTCCTTGTTATTCTGATGTTCAGTCAATGGTATTCTTAGCATCCTTCTGTAGAACCACATTTCTGCTGCTTGATGTATCTTTGTCATCTGCGAGAAGATTGTCCATATAGGAGGATTAATATTATATAAGTTTAGAACTCATCTTTACGTCTAATAAAATCTTCCTTTTTCTTAATACTTTGCTTAGCTTATGGAAGGCATCTGTCAATATTCCAATGTACTTTTATTTAATTCTAGTAAATGACAGTTTCCTATTTTCCTCCCAAACATGCCAGCATGGCTTGTCAACAATGCAGCATTGAAAGTGTTAATTCTTTTGCCAGTAAAAATCTATTTGTGGAAAAATACTAATTCAATTTTCCTTTTTTTTAAACAGAGCTCCTCTTCTTCCAGTCGGAATCAAGAAAACTCGGCAACTGATCCTAACCAAAACTCCTCCTCTCAACAAGTGGTCACACCATCTCTGACGCCACACAGCATACCCACTTCTCCTGGTATCTGTAATGTCTCTCCCTCTTTTACCCAGCAAAATTTTAAAGTTTCCCCACTCCAACCTGCTCTCACTCCATCAAAACTGCAGCCAACAAAGCTTTTTTGTTTCATCATCCACACGCCCTAGTTTGTCACCGTTACAGCCCTGCTCGAACCTGCCTTCACCACAGCCAAACTCATTTCCTGCCACAAATGGGATTCTTCCATCTCCTGGGTTGCAGGCTGAAGCCAGCTCCCCAAATCAGCCACATTGTGTTTCAACTTCGGCCCAATCCATCACGGAAGCCTCATCTTCAAATCTCCCACCTGACATAGAAAATGATAATTCTCTGTTTCAAGAGAAAGAGTACTTCATTTTACCCGTGTACATATATGACTGTTCACTGTCGAAGATCATTGACTCTCTGGTTCATAAAGGGGCATTCACACTGCCCCCTGACATTGTGGAAGATCACACAATTGGAGACAATCTGTTTCATGAGTACGATCTTGGGGTTGGCAAGTCTCAGACCCCAAACAACTTGGACATTCATGATGACAGCAGCGAAGGAGGACGACACAGTACGGCTTCACTTGATCGACGCTCAAATGACAGCATATCTGATCACCCTGGCGATTTCAAAAAACACCGTGAAAAAGTGACGGATGTATTCAGCAGTAGTTATGTCATTGGTAAGCAGAAGTCATATTTAATACTACGAGTCAAATTTATGGAATATGTGCAATGCATTTTAGAAATAGATATCAAGAGCATCTTTCACTTTGTATGAATAAATAACTGAAGGATGATTTTTTATGCATTTTTTTTTATTTAGTGTGTGTCTTTTATTGTTTTTTGTGCATTATTTTATCTTCTGCAATTTTTTTTTGTTTAGTGTCTGTTAAGAGTTTTTCTCTAGTGCTTTGTATATGTTTTACTTTATTGTGTGTCTGTTTCTTCTTTTGCCTCTCGTGCGTGTGTGTTTCTTCTTTTGCCTCTTCATGAGGTGTTCGTTTTTCTTTTGCCTCTTTGCCTTAAAATGTGTGTGTTTCTTCTTTTAAATTAATAATCGTGTTTCTAAATATTCAATATTGAAAAATTTCTCGTGTGTTTTTCTTCTTTTCATTTTCTAATTGTATTGTTTAATCTTTTTTTTCTATAATTTGTTTTATTTTTCTTTTGCCTTAATTTTTGAAGTTTCTTTATTTCAAATCTTTATCTCGTGTGTATCTTTCTTTAAGATTTCTAAATCCAGTGACATTTCTTTTTTTCATATTTCGTCGTGATTATTTCTTCTTTTGGCCTCTTACACTTGTGAAATTTTTTCTTCAGACTTTTATAATGTCCCATAAATGTTTTATTACATGAATATCCTTGTTCTTTCGTAGTTTTTTTGTTTTAAAAAATTCGTGTGTTTGGATTTCTTTTGCCTCTTTTTAATCTGATGTTTTCTTTTTTTTGCCTGAATAGGGTTGTTTTTTTTATCTCTTGTTTTCCAAAGAAAATTTTTCTCTTTTGTATTTCTTCTTTTTTCAAAAAATAAAAAATTTGTTATAATTGGTGCGTGTGAGTTTCAACCAATTTATTAAGATCTCTTATATATGTGTTCTTTTCTCCTTTTTTGTGCCTCGTGCATGTGAGCTTTTTCTCTCTTGTCTACTGTGCGCCTGCTTTTCTCTTTTGTGTCTCTTGTATTTTACTTTTTTTATGTATGTATATTTTCTTATTTTCATATTATATTTTATTATCTATGTTTTTAGTTTAGTATTTCTCTCATTTAGTCTTTTGTATACTTGTTTTTTTTTTCTTTTCAACCCTGACTCGCCTAATTTATTTATATATTTTTTTTCTTCTTCTTCTTCTTCTTGTTTCCAAGGTATATTCCGTAATCTATCTGACGAACATTATGTTGACAAGATGGATATTGACACTGCCATTGACATCTGTGAAGAGTCGCCTCCCTTGGAGATCAATATTGTACAGTTTTTGCATGCTTCCTGTGGCCATCTCCGGCACGTCTGCAGTAAACAGAAAAAGTACGATGAAGAAGGTGCCACTTCCTACTTTTGTGACGACTCACCTCGAAAGTCAGCTGTACGCTTTTCAGACAGGAATGAAAGGTAAAAAAAAAAAAAAAAAAGTACAGTAGTAGCAGAAGTTGTACAAGAAGCTACACCAAAATAATACTGATTGATTGATTTGTTTTTTTTTATGGCTTATCAACACTTTGCAGGTTATTTAAAGCCAGAAAATATTTTTTAAGATGGCAAGAATTTTTTTTTTCTTGGATAATAATGATTTAGTGATACAAGTCTTACTAATTAACCCATAGCTGTGGGCGGAGAAGAGGTGGCTTCATGCCTAAAAAGAATTTGATAAACAGTAAATTATAACGTGGACATAAAGTGGGGGATTAATTCTATATTACAATCAATATATAAACGGATCCCTTACTTTGTGGCCATGGTAATTTCTGTACATTTATATTCAAGAGAATGTAAATAAATCTAAAAGACATGCCTGTGTAGCTAATCAGTATTTCATTGATTGATTGATTCATTTTTTACTGCTTATCACCCTTTTGTAGGTTATTTAAAGCCAGAAATTATAATGTGGCCATAAAGTGGGTGATTAATTCTATATTACAATAAATATATAAAATGATCCTTCACTTTGCGGCCACATTAGTTTCTATATATCTATATTCCAAAGAATGTAAATAAATCTAAAAGACATGCCTGTGTAGCTAATCAGCATTTTATTGATTGATTCATTCCTTTTCAACTGTTTGCAGGTTATTGAAAGCCAGAAAATATTTTTAGATTTTAAGAATTTTTTTTTTTTTTTTGAGATAATGATTTAGTGATACAAGTCTTACTAATTAATTAATAGGTTGGGGGGGTGGAGAAAAGGTGAATTCATACCTTATCCAAGGATATTTGCGCATAAGTGAATATAACAAACCTAACTGGAATTGGAACTTGGAATTCAGAGCCATTATCCATTACATTGACCACACATCTGGTAATTACTGGTATTCCCAAGTGGTCACCCATCTAGGTACTGACTAGTCTCAATGTTGCTTAACTTCAGTGATTGTATGGGATCCAATGTTTCAACTTGATATAGCAGTAAGCTTAAAGCACCTGGTATTCCTAAGTGGTCACCCATCTGGATACTGACCAGGCTTAACTTTGGTGATCGTACATGAACCGCTGTTTAAATGTGATGTGTCTGTAAGCCATCAAAATTATAGGAATTGCCTAAAACTTCCTCTCATATGTGGCACTATGATTGGGATGCACACATAGAAGGAAGGTGTGATTTTTATAGTAGATAGATTCACCTATCGTCCAGTTCATACTCCTCCCATGTCTTTTGAACAGGAATAAAAGTTTAACACTTGTTGCCAGTTTAGGATTGCATTTTCCGTTCCCTCTAAAGTCTTTTCATTCTCTTTCACTACCAGTAGCTCCCTGTATCTTAGTAGCATTATTGCCTTGCTTGGGGTAGAATTGATTTAAGAAATTATATATATATATATATATATATATATATATATATATATATATATATCATTCCCTTGAAAATTATCTGGATTATTTTCTTTTAAATAAGCATATTTTATGAAGTATCTTAATTAAATACTTTTGGCCACAATGCACTGTTTCAACAATTTAGAAGTTACAGACAGACATACAGTATTTTTTTTTAATGTTATATAGACTATTATGAATTTGCTTAGCTGAAAAACCTTCAGAATCAAATGTTACTCAAATTCTCAGAGGCATTAACAGAATTTTAGTTGAAAGAGATTTATGTTTTTGGTGATTGTCAACCAAGCAGAAACAGCAAAAAATTTTTTAAATATATAAGAATTGATTTAAGAATATATATATATATATATATATATATATATATATATATATATATAGTGGATAAAAATTTTAGATAGAGTATATCTGTAAAAGGACTATGAATAAAAACAAAAGGAAAACTTATCTCATCCAAGGCAACTTGTCTTCTGAGGGACTTTATCAAGGTAAATGTAAGGATTTTATTTTGTGACAGGTATTTATATACAAGAGCAAAAATGTTATTGTTTTTTTTTTTTTTTTGTGTATAGGTGCTAATGAATATTCATCAGGTTAGCAGAAAAGTCAAGGCAATTTTATGGATGTGAGGTGATTCAGTTAAAAAAAACAAAAACAATACTACTTATTTTCCTTCATTAGGCATTGTACCTATATTCATAGATAATTATATTGGACATACCACTACATGCCTATCAAGAAGATTCACATTACATCTCTCTGACCATAGCTCAATTAGGACCCATTTAAACATACATGGAAACCTACCAAGCTCCATCTGTAACATACTCTTAGAAAATATGACTATAATAGCTTCACCCACATGTAAGAAAAGGTTAAAAATAATGGAAGCCTTAATAATAAAAATGAAAAAGCCAACACTCAATGATATCAACTATGAACATGGCCACAATCTGCTAACCACATTTGGAAAAAAAAATTCTTATCACTATAGACACATTTATAAAAATCTATGTAGTTAAAAATAAAAAAAATATCCTTGATAATGGTTAATGGAATATCTGAAGGTGCTCAGATATAGAGAACATTTGTACAGTTTTTACACACTTTATATCTAGAAAAGAAAACTTATACAAATGCAAGAAAAATTAAATAAAAAGCTTAATTGCAATACCTTGTCAGTTATCTCTAATGAAACATATATAAAAGACCTCAAATGTACAATTACATACATACATACATACACACACACACACCTATGTAAAAGTTTGTCACTTAGCTGATTGATGTTACCTTCAGCATCCCAACTCCAGAGTTTCGTTAGTGGACCTGTTTGTGTGGATGTGTATGTGTGTGTGTATATATATATATATATATATCTGATTGAATAAATTACAAACATTATGTCTGCTTATTTTTATCATAATCCTTTCATATTCATGAATATTTTTCTGTATATTACAATTGAATGAGGTAAGAAATGCACTGTAACAGTGAGAATCACTTTTATTTCCAGGAATACTTTCCATCTCTTTTTGAAATCATATATATATATATATATATATATTCATTTATTATAATTTTATCATATAGACAAAACCATTTTACTCACTACAAAGATGCAACTTGGTTTCAGTGCATTTCAACTGCACTTTGACAAGTGATTTGAAAAAATGGTTATGAAAAATATTTCATAACCATTTTTGGTTTCATCAAAATGGAGATATATATATATATATATATATATATATATATATATATACACACACACACACACACACACAGAGTGTTCATGAAGTCATTAGACAAATAGAAAAATTTATTAAAATTACAATGGAAATTGGATATTGTTGAAATGTCTACATGATATGAAGTTATAGTGAAGTTTATATACAAATAGTTCTTAAATTTTTATATGGGCCCCATACATTACATGAAAGACATCTAAGCAATATTCAATTTTTTCGTTCTGGTAATTCTTTAATTACAGTCAAAAACATAAAAACATAACATTTAATAAAGCTATTAATATGAATAAAAGAACTTTGATAATATTAATATGCAACAAAATTTTCATTGTCACCTCTTTTAAATTTTTCATAATGACTTTTTAAACTTGTCTAAAGATTTTGGGGATACCCTGCATGTATATGTGTATATACTTGACTTTCCTGTTGTTTTCAATATGTGAGGGTCAAGTAGGTCAGTTTTTAGAACCAATAGCCATACTACCCACACATTTGATTATATTAGTGAAGTCTTGTGCAGGACCAACCACACTTTTTAAAAGAGCCGAATACAGAGAAATGGTGCACAGCATACTACAAGGTCCTCAATTGATCCACTGTGTATATGTTTCATTTTTGGATCTGATAATGCCTAGAAAGGCAAAACACCTAATCAAATCAAGTTTCAATGAAACATTTTCCATATGTCAAATTTCTTAAAAACTTTCTCAGTATTCTATATCCTATTTCACACACACACACACACACACACACACACACACGTGTGTGTGTGTTTATATAACAATAACTCGAGGTGGTATAATGGTTAGCATTTGTCTAATTTTAGAACAATTACAACTGAATAGTGAGTTCATTTCTCACTGGGTGCCCCATAATTTTGTTTCCACATTGAAAATATACGCTTGGAAAATCACATTTTAAATCATCCCTTGAGGCGGTGTAATGGTTACCAAGCTTGTCTCACTAGAACAATTACAACTGAGTAGTGAGTTTGATTCTTACTAGGTGTATTTTATTATTTTTGGCCTTTTGCCACATCTAAGCAATGCTTAGAAAATCACTATATATATATATATATATATATATATGTCTTTAAAAAACCCAGTAATTTTAAAATTTACTCCAAAATTCTTTTGAGGATGAAATGGAACTAATGTCTTTAATTTAATTGCAAAATTAAATTGTGGCTTTTAGCTTCCATTTTTGAAACATGGTTAGAACTGTGTAGTTCCAAAAACCATATTTGAAATCAATATATATATATATATATATATATATATATATATATATATATATATATATATCAAAAAGTGAACCTAGAAGTCAACACTAGAGGCATACAGTCTGTTTCATGCTAGATGCAATTGTCAGGCCATGAGTGCTGTTGTTTTTCTAGGCTATTTATATATATACGGGTCAGTGGTGCATTATGGGTAGTCTATTTTAGTGGTTATTTTACCGGAAGTCGTTTATTTATTTATATGGGTTAAATTATTTTGCTTGTTTTTATTTATTTTTTTCATTTTTTATCTTATATATTTATTTATTTTATTTTAATCGGTGTTTTTATTAACATAGTAAAAATTTGTTTATATCGCTTATTTAATAGTTTTGTTTTGGTTTGGGAAGATAATTAATGATATTTATTCAATTTTGGGGTTGATTGCTGTAGTTTATTCTGAACTATTGTTTTATGGACATTTTTTTAAATATATATATATATATATATATATATATATATATATATATATATATATATATATATATATATATATATATATATAGTTCATGTTTACTGATTTTTTCAAAAAAAGGTGCGTGTTTATTAATTTTACTTCCCAAGATTATTGTTTTTTTCAGTGAATATTTTATTAGGACATTTTTCACCATAATGATTATTCAAATGTAGGTATTTGTTCAGATTAACTTAATCTGGTACAAAGATACAAAAATAAGGGCTCCCAGTGAGGAGAGAACTCTGCAGTTAACATTTTGCAAGAGTATGTTTTTCAGATAGCAGATAATTAATTTCACGAATGTTTTACAAAAGAAGAATTCGAACTTTTTTGCTTCTGTTCAGTCTTTTTTTGTTTTAATTTACAGTTATTATGATTCGCCTCATCTGTTTACGGAACCCAACATTTCTGACTCCAAGTCTTTCCAGCTTCCCTCAATAAAAGTTCCAATTCCATTGTCGCCAATGGATGAGGGTCGGACTTGTGAATATGTCTCTGAACTCCACCAGATTATCTCTCACAAATTTGCCGACACAATGAGCACTTGGTTTAAACCGGTTCCAAGCTGTCCCGATTACTACTTCTTTTGTCCGGATCCTGTGACAGTCAATAATAATGTCGTAAGTTGTCTTCTTATTTCTTTTTAAGACAATTGAAAAACTGTAGTTTTAGCTAACGTGTTTCATCTCATGTGGACAAAAAACAAAATGAATTTATTGAAAGAAAGTATGTATAAACAACAAACAAAATGCCATTAGCAACTAGAAGAATTTAGAAATGCTATTGTGTATTCATATGGTCAACTGAAAAATTACATCAATTATTTTGTTTGAAGAGAATATTTTCACATGTAGAAATATTGTTTGTATTGTTGTGTTGATGGATTCAACTGTTTTCTTTTGATTTCATGGTATATTTGTTGTGTATGTTGGCTTGGGAGAGTAGTGATTCTGTTAGGAAAGGTGGGTGTAGATTAATATTTGTATAATAATTCAATGGTAGCACATTCAAGGATTTTCCTTCTGAGTTAATTATTTTCTTTTTTATGAGTGTAGCATTTATAAAATCAAAATTGTGCTTGAATTTATTTCTATGTATGACTAGTGCATTTGTTAAATTTTTATTCCGTCCTAGGTATGACGTCAAACTCCATCCACGTCCTGGGTAAGACGATAAACTATGTCCAACAGCAGGAGGCTTTGAGGAGCGTGGAAGCGCCTCTTAATTGCTGGTGTTCCCAGGTCCACCCTGACCTAGGGTGGTAGCACCTGTTAGGGTCCCAGCTATGGGCAAATAGTTAACTCCCCAAACTATGAAAGTGTTGAAATAGGTTTTAATACCAGAAATACTTTTGCCAGCAATAAGTTTTTGAAGAAAAAAATTATTACCAGCAATACATTTTTGAAAAAAGATGTTACTAGCTATACTTTTTTGAAAAAAAAAAATTACAAGTGATACAATTTTGAAGAAAAAATATTACCAGAAATAGATTTTTGAAGGAAAAAAATTTTACCAGCAATGCATTTGATAAAAAAAAAAAAATATTACCAGCAATAAAAATCTTGTCGGCATTAAATAACCCATTGAAGTTGATATGCCGTAAAACAAACCAAATTTTTATTTATGAGGTCTCTTTTGAGCTCATAGATGTGTTTTTTTTAAAACAGTTTTCCTATCGTCTTTTACCTTAATACATATTGTCTTTTTCTACAAGTTAATTCTGAGAAAATTTTACATATGCATTTCTATATAAATTCTTATCTATCTTTTATATGAGTGTGTATATCTGACTGGTTCAGTATGTCACCAGTGGTGTTAGCAACTTTTAAAATAAATGACTTGAAGTGACACTTGATAGCAAGTGTAAAAAATGGGCTTATTCATGGATACACCATTAAAAAAAAAAAAATAAATCACTAACAAAGACATGATGGGTCAGGTGAAGTGTGATGTTGACATCTTTCAAAATAAATAAACTGTCCAGATACTTGTTAATAAGTGTCATGATCACAAATCATGTAATACCTTAGGATCTTTGGGCACCACATCTACTACAGCCATAGCAATGTTGGAGCCCAATCCACTTTAACCCGTTTTGAATTCAGTTTTCCTCTTCCTAGACTGGTTGCCAACCAAGGCTATAAGGCTCAATCTGTCCAGCTATTTACCCGTAGCTGAAGGGAATAGCACATGTGAATGTGATGAACTCTATTAGAATTCAATCTCTGCTCTCCGATTCTCTGAACTGCTATCCATTAATATTCTGTGTGTCTTTAATAAGTGTTAAGGGGTTTTATTTCAGTATCATTAGTAATCATTTTTTTTAATCAATTCATCCCAAACAAGGCAATAATGCCACTGAGACACTAGAGGCTACCAGGAATTAAAAAGAATGAAAAGACTTTAGAAGCAACAGAAAACCCAATCCTGAACAGGAAAACAATGGATAAACCTCTACTCCTGTACAAAATACTATGGAGGAGTGTGAACTGGATGATAGACCCATTTACTCTTATTAAGGAAAAAAATAAATAGTGAATAAATTTCTAGAGTTTAGGTGGTCATTAGAAGTTTCGAGTTAAAGTATAACTTAGAAGGAAATAGAAACTCAATCCTAAAGGGGAAATAAGGGATAAACCTATACTCCTGTTCAAAATACCAGAGAAGAGTGTTAACCAGGTCATAGGCAAACCAATCTATTCCCATTAATAATAAAAATAATAATAGTAATAATAATAGAAGGCTGCTTGTATTCGAGGATACCTTTCTACTAGGGCCTTGGACACTCCCCTATTGCAGACAAATTTCCAGAGGAAACAAATGTTTTTTCAACACCCACAGAGCCAACCTGTGGTGTATACTTTAACTATGCTGAGCAGAAATTTTAGTTATTGTTTTTGGGAATTTTGTGTTATGTAGAATGATCAACAATTTGAACAACACCAGCACAAATAAAAACCCTCGGTCAATGAATTGTGACTTTGTGCTAGTGTTTTGTTACACAATTTCACTAAAAATTCTGTCTATATTTCTGAGATGAATTTTTATTCATTTTTACATTATTGAATTTATTTTAATCAATAAAACTCAAACAAAATATTTGTTTGAATAAAAAAAATATTTGGATTTAAAATTTGTTGACCAACCATTTAAATATTTTGATATTCAAAATTGAATTAAATATAAATTGTATATACTAAATTCATTTAAATTTCTATATTTTCTTAAATAAAAAATGAAAATAATTTTAATTTGTCAAATTTTATTTATTTTTCTCTGCAATTTCCATTTCAAATGGTTTAAAATTTAAATCAATCAAATTTATTCACTTGATAAATATCTGTTAATTTTGAAAACACATGGCTGAAATATTAGAAAAACATTCCTTTATGAATATTTGCAGATGTCAATTCATTCAATGTTTTATTTGAAATTTCAATCAGGCACATCTATGAATACATCAAGAAATAACTGATAAAAGAATTCCATTAAACATTTCATTGAAATAGAACCCAAAATCCAGTAACATGGAAATAATAAAGGGTTCAGTTCAACATTCCAAAGATTTGAAGCAAGGCCAGAAAACAACGGCAAAAATGTTGTAATAAATATTTGACAAAAGATGAGGACAATAGTTTAAATAATGAAAAATAATGTTAATCACAAGGTTTAAATAAAAGATATTGGTTTTCAGGCACTTTCCAAATGGGAATGGGTTCCTCTAATAAGAGTGAGAAGGGCCTGGATTTGGAGAGAGAGAGATTTTCTCAGCTTTCTTTGGTTGGTCAGTTATTATATAATGTTTTTTTTTATTAGCCAATCAATTAATTCTTAGTTTTTATTCAACTTTTACAATCAAAACATCCAGTGGAGTATAAGGGACGCTAACTTAAGTCTTGTTTTCTAATAGTTTTTGAGTTGTTTTTCTATTTTTTGTATTTTAATATGGTATACATTACTGTAGGAATTTTAATTCTCAATTGTAACAACCGTTCTGAAGTGTAATTGCTTTATGGACCACTAAAATATTAACATGGACCCCCTAATAATGTTACATCATCCCCAGGGTCTATATTGACCCCGGTTGAGAACCACTGTCCTAAAACATCCAATATGGCTTTATTTTAGCCCTGTTGTCAGGTTTTCAAAACAATTCTGGGCTCTGTGACTTGGAAGACAGCTTCCTGTTAACACCTGTCACTCAAATTGTCATGTCCTGACCTTTTCAGCTGCTAAGTCAACTTACATTTAGACTAAGTTAATATTACGCTATCCTTAAAAGGAATATAACACTTATAATTCATTAAAATTTTTTTTCTTTCATTGGAAATACTTTCCCTCCATTGAGCAAATTTTGGCAGCCATGACACTTTCCCATGAGCCATACTGCCACAATACTACTGTTGATACTGGCATAAATTTCAGATGATATTTTAGAAAAGAATCAAAAATTCCTAAAAATGTAATATAATTGAGAGTAGTATTCAGCATAGAAATTCCTTCAGAATTTCAAATGCTTTATCCGCATAAAATTTCTGATGAGGTTATCTGTGTTTAGTTGTTTCTGTTTGAAAACACTTTTATTAGTTTGGTTTGTTTTACGACATATCAACCTCAATGGGTTATATACGACAAGAGTTTAATTTGGTAATTTTTTTTTTTTTTCCAAAAAATGTATAGCTGGTAATTTTTTTTTTTTTTCCTTCAAAAAATATATTTTGGTACTAATGTATTGTTAGTAATAATTTTTACAAAAAATTTATTGCTGGTAAATTTTTTTTTTTTTTTTGAAAATGTATAGCTGGTAATTTTTTTTTTTAATCAAAAAAATATATTGTTGGTACTAATGTATTTTTAGTAATAATTTTACTTCAAAAATTTATTTTGGTAAAATTTTTGAAGAATAAAATTGGTATTAAAATCTATTTTTACACTTTCATAAAATTTGATTTATTCCAGTTTGGGGGTTAACTATTTTATGAAATAGTTGGGACCCTAACATGTGGTGCTACCACACTGGGTCAGATTGGACCCTTGAACACCAGCAATTAGGAGGTAGTTTACACCTCCAAAAAAAATTTGATCAGATTTTTGCTGTTGGATTAAAGTTTATGTCATACCCATTTTTATTTTTATGAAGGACTATTATATGTACTTCAGGTGAAATTAACCCTTTATAAATTAGAAAAACCCAAATTTAAAATTTTTTTTTTTTTTTTTTTTTTTTCCCCCCATTAAAAATTTCAATTGTACAAGACCTGTAAATACTTGAGATAAAGGGTTATGTTGAGGGATAGTTTATATGGATATGGGGGGAAGATAACGGTTGACCCTGGACTTGAATAGGTTATGATTGTTTGATCATTAAAAACATCCTTTTGAAGTTTGTTCCACATTTTTTTCCAAAAAGAAGTTGTTTAGAGGTTTTTCAAAACCAATGGAATATTCTCTTGTGTGTGATCATTGTTACTATGAAAGTGGCATGGCAGGTTTTCAGTGAATTTTAGACATGGTGGATCTAAGAAATGCAACTCGTATTTTTATATTTATTTACTATTGTAGCAATAAATCAATGAGAGGCTCGCCACATCCTAAAAAGAGAGAGAGGTTGAAGGGTAAGAATAATTTTTCTCCAACATACAAATAGAGATGTTTTTTGAATGTTAAAAGACTGGAAAGTGATATTATTGTTTTTTTTTTTAAGCATTTCACCCCAAGCAAGGCGGGAAGCCACTAGGACGCAAGGGGATACAGAAAATTTGGAGCAAGATCAGATAGGAGTGATAGAAGAAAGGATGAGGAGAAGGATAGTGGATAGATCAAGGCAACTGGAGATGTTGATCGACATTACATTTGAATAGCTGGTGATTATAGCTCTCAGGGAAACTGGAATAGGGAAGGGAGTTCCACAGGCGAGAGGTGTGAGACATGAAGCTATTAAAGTAGAAGAGACGGCTACATTTAGGAGTTTCGACAGTGAAGGGGTGAGAGCAGGATGCCAGCCTCGTAGGGCACTTGAACTCATGAAGTCTGGGAACCAGCGAATGCAGCTCCTCAGAGCAATTGCCATGAAAGTATTTGTAAAAAAGACAGAGAGAGGCGACGGCACGTCTGTGAGAGAGTGACTATAGACAAGATGCCAGAGCAGGGCCAATTATATTGCATATCCACCTCTGAAGCCTATCAAGAACCCCGAGGCAAACAGAAGGGGCTCCAGACCATATATGGCAGCAATACTCCATGCAAGGGCGAATTGTTGATTTGTAGATCTGGAGGATCGATTCCGGGAAGAAAAATTTCCTGGCATGGCACAGGGAGCCAACTTCCCTTGCAGTGGACGAAGCAATTGACTCAATGTATTTGTTCCACCTCAGGTCAGCCATCAACGTGAGACTGAGCAGCCGCAGAGAGATGCTCTCGAGAAGTTGAGCGTCAGACATTCTAATGGAGGGCAGGGAAGGATCTCTGTGGTGATTAATAGAGAGCAGTTTTGTTTTTGAAGCATTAAAGTTATGGCAATAGTACCCTATTTTCTGCCTGATCTGACTCTTAGTTTCACACTCTTAGAGTTCAGGAGTGCTTAAATGCACCCACAATTGGATAGCACATTGAAAACACCTGTCATTTGATCACCCAGAAATGCCATGTAATCTGCGTCTTTTTGGAAATCTGCAAAATGTTGTAAATTTCCAAAATCACACCTCATAACCAGTAATACCTTCTTCTATGGGTCATGTTCATTCAGGACATTGGCAATCATGGCTCTCCACGATTTCCTGTTTTTTGTATCTCTTAATAAATTTTCTGTTTTTGTCATCTCTCCTAAACCTTGATCTGCCATCCATACTCAAGGTCACTAGGTAGATTATGCATTGTTTTCTTTTGTCCCTTTTGCCTTCAATCTGCCCTGTGAGTATCAAATTTTCCAAATTTTCCTCGTTAAGTGCCCTGGAAATTTCAACTCTTTCTGATGTTAAGTCTAAGTGTCTTTTTGCTTCCATTTTTCTCTAAAACTTTATCATTACACACATGTTCGGTGTATGGTATTCTCAGCATCCTTCTGTAGAACAAAAATTTATTAAATATGTATTTACTGACACAAGATGAACATTTAAATAATTTTTTTTAATCTATGCAAATATAAGTGTGTCTAATACATTGGTATTATTATGAAGAAGCTGCCTAGCAAAGCTTAAACTGGATAACTCTGAGTTTGAGATGACTTACAATGAGTTGTGCTCACTTTGAAAACACTTTTTTTTTCATGAGCCTGCAAATACAACCTTTGACAATGTTCAAAAATGTATTTTGATTTTATATAATTTAATATCCAACAGCCTGGAAGGACAGGAGATATGTCAGAGGAACAAATCGGGACCACCAATGGTAAGTTTTTAAGAGCTGATATTTTCTTTGAATTTAAGAAATTGAAAATCTAACAACTTGGCTGTTAAGACAGAAGATGGCAATGTGGGTTGCATTTAAATTTTTGAAGATCAAAGGCAATAAAGCCACTAGGACGCAAGGGGGTTACTGAGTGTTAGAGAATATGAAAAAAAACTACTATTAAGGAGAGAAGACAATAAAAGTACATGAATTGAGAAGACAAGATAACGATTGACATTGCATTTAAATTTTTGAGGGTCAAAGGCAATAAAACCACTAGGATGCAAGGGATTACTGAGTGTTAGAGAATATGAGAAAAATTACTATTAAGGAGAGAGGACAATAAAAGAACAAGAATTAAGAAAATAGAAGATAATTATTGACATTGCATTTAAATTTTTGAGTGTCAAAGTTGATTGGAAAAGAAGTGTCAGAAGAGAGATCTATAAACAAGAAATGTGAGAGAAGAAACTGTTAGCATAGAACTTACAGCTTGCTACCTTTAGCCATTTCAACTGTAAAATGGTGAGACCTTGCCACTAACCTAGTAACATGCTTAAATGACTTTATGAAAAGTCTAGGTAGCAAAGATGAAAGCTCATTATGTACACTATTTACATTATTCAGACTATCGTCCTCATCTTTGTTGCCATATTTATTACAACGTTTCTGCCGTTGTACGCTCCGGCCTTCTTCAATTGTTTTGAATTTCAAACTGAACCCTTTATTTCACGCACTGGGATAGACTGTTCTAGTTCCACATGTCATGTTTTAATGGATGTCAGTTATCAGTTATCTCCTGTTAATTCCCCTCTTCAAGTTCTCCACCACCTTAACCAGGTATTGAACTCGCACTCTTTGGGTGCTGTCACTGGATCTAACTAACACCTTTATCCACTGTGCCATGTGTCCTTGAAATATAGACAGATGAGGAAAGCTCATTAAGACAATTACCATTAGATGGCTTTCACAATATGAAAATTTTTGTTTAACCATTGAAACAAAATAACAAAACTTGCCATTCTAATATCATGATTCATAACTTCTTTTCTTTTTTTTTCTCTGTCTCTTTTACTAGAATCAATCAGTCATAGCTGTACAACTGCTGAAGACACAGACATTGTCCTTGATTTATCTGGACCGGAATTGAATACTGCTAACAAGTTCCCTGTCCTAACCACCATTGACCCCAGCAATTCAGATTCAGATGACCACTCGATGTCCAGCAGTGGGGTAGAATCTTCAGATGCTGATGACCCATGTCATCCTTTGTTTATTAGTTTTATATGTACCCTCAAGCAAAACACTGACCATCACAACATTGTTGTGGGGACCATTCCCACCTGTCTTGGTAAGATGTGCTTTTTTATTTTATTTTTTTTGCTAATATAGATTGTAAATAGATTTAAATACCTTTATTTATAAAAAGGATAATATAGATTGTAATGATTATAAATAGCTTTATAAAGGATTCTGGTGTTTTTTTTTTTTTTTTTTTTTCTCCACTCACTCACTCAGGTGGATAGGTGACACCTGGAGCATCTTCTGCTACTTCTGACATGACAGACTAATGGAGGAGACCATGGTGAAAATGTTGATTCTCTTGCCACACCTTTTTGAATCTCTCCATCACGATGTGCAGTTTGCAACTCCCTAACAAGTAGTCTGGAACTCTCTTGACAGACAACATGTACCCTGACAAAAGGCAATATTAGAAATACCTTAAACAGTAATTGTGACTTTTTCTATAGGTCTGAGAGTGGAACTTTCTAACTCCAGCCAAGTGGCACTTGTTCCTAAAAGTTTTCGTCTTTTTTATTTCCTTTTGGTCAGTGGGTTGGCACTTTAAAGATCTTATTTCATAGACTTTACTTCTGGTCATGAGAACACCAGACACTTCCAACTTTGATAAAAATCATTTACCATTCTCTTCTATGTGGGTGTTCTAATCCAATCATGTAGGGAATTCAATGTCATATTAGCCTTTTGCTGACTTTAACAATCTACTTTGAGTGTCTTTTGAGGCTTGCGACCATATCACATTGAAACATTGGTTCCCATATGATCCTCAAAGTTAATCAACGTGAGCCCAGTCAGCATCTACATGAGTGACTGTAAACTTGGATGTGCAGCTGGTGTAACAGATAATGGCTTGGAATTATTAACTGGAGAGATGAGATCCAATTCATGTTGGGTTCCTTATATTCACTTACACACAAATACCCACGGGAAAAAGTGTAAATCCATCTCTTCTCCTCCCAGTTATGGGTTAATTAGTAGGACTTGTATCAGTAAATCATTACCCCACCTCCAAAAAAATTCTCAGAATCTAAAAATATTTTCTGGCTTTAAATAACCTGCAAGCTATAGAAAACATATCAATCAATTTGATTGATTTTGTTTTTTTTGGTTTATCAATCTTTTGCCCGTTATTTGAAGCCAGGAAAATTATTTTTTTAAATTGTAAAAATTATTTGGAGATAATGATTTACTCATAGAAGGCTTACTAATCAACCCATAGTTGGTCAAGATGTGGATTCATGCCTTTCCCAAGGGTATTTGTGTGTAAGTTAATATAACAAACTCAACTGGAATTGCAACTTGGCTCTCCAATTTTCAATTCTGAACGATTATCTATTAGACTGTTCGCACATCCAAGTTTACAGTATCTGTATTCCCAAATGGTCACCCATCTAGGCACTGACCAGGCTTGTCATTGCTTAACTTTGGTAATTGTACGAGAACCAGTGTTTCAACGTAATATGACCATAGGCCCATTACACCACATGCATATCCAAGTTTACAGCATCTGATATTCCCAAGCATTCACCGATCTCAGTACTGACCAGGCTTAATGTTGCTTAACTGTGGTGATTGTATGAGAATTCTTCTGGAAATGTTTTGTTTTTAGGGAAAAGTAACTGCTATCCAATGAGTGAATTGTGCAACTGAGTTTTGGTGATGCTGGCCAAATTTTGGTCTACATTAATTCACTGTTTGGGCTTAAATGACCTCTTTGTGTTCATTTTTCAGCTGAGATCACAGGTCACCTGATGGACAAACTGAGTGAACTGGATTTGGGAAATTTGCAGGTGACCTTTGACCTGTATTGTTTGACCTTACCATTGGAAATGGATCACCTACCCAAAAAGTTTCCCTTTATTGGATTTGCTGATGCTGATGATGATGATTCCAGCCCTGATGGGTAAGACCCCCATATATATCTTTATATACTTGTTTTTAACACTACCCAGATTATACACCCACAACATGCTTTATGACCACAAGATCATGACTTGATAAACTAGGCATGTTCATGAAAATCGATAGCATGACAAGAACGGCCTGAAAATTAATGAAAAAATTTTTCTTTGTGTTAAATGTATATTTCATTAGTGAGAAGAAACACTAAAGTATTTTTTGAAATTTTTTTACTCATTCTTAGCATGTCCAAAATTTTAGTTAAAAATCTTGTTTATGAAATAACGACAAAAACTTGATATAAGCCTTTTTTTTTTTAAATTTTGAAAATAAGTTAAATTCTTCATTTAAAATTCGTTTAAAAATTAATTATACGTATTTCAAAATTTATTTGAAGAAATTTAGAAAATTTGAAGTTTATTTAAAATATTTTGAAAGAAACTTTTACTTACTTTCTATTTAGAGAAAAATGTTTTTAAGATAAAAGAGAGCTGATCTCAAATTTCTTGAAATTGACAAGTGATGACGTCTATAAATTATTGACAGCTGACGGAAGATTCGAGTTCTCATACGAAATGACAGAATGGACATATTTTTTTAAGTGGACCTGCTTAAGTAGTACCTTGTAATAATTAAAGTAAAAAAACTTTCGACATTCCAATTTATTTATTTTTTTTTTTTTTTAAGTACTGTACCATAAGTTTGTTGATGCTATCTGGAGAAATTATAAATACTATAAAAAAAAAATTAAGATACAAGTGCTGAACGTTTTTTTTTTTTGCTTTTTTTTTTTTTTTTTTTTTTTTGCACGCATGATACTTCCAGTCTTCCGTAGATTTGATTGGTAAAAATTATTGACACAAATTAATTTTTTTAATATACGTGCTCTCGTTAGTTTGTAATAAGCTTAGGAAATTATAATCTGTAAACATATATTAATAACAACATTCGTTAAGTTCTACAAACTTTTCCCTAATTTTAGAAGAATTAGCAACATAATGTAAAAATAAAAAAATATTTCAGAAATAATAAATAATTGTTTTAAAAAATTCATTTTCATCGAAATATCTTTTTGCTTTCAGACAATATTGTCCATGTTCACTGAAATAAATAAAAGCTATTAAAAGCTTTTGAAATTAAATAATATTTTTCTTGAGTTTTGTATGTTACACTTCAGAGACGATTTTCAGGTAGGGGTGGTCCAACTAAAAAAAACAAAAACATGATTTGGTTTCCTCAAAGCATTGTGCTTTTAACTAATATAATCATTAATCTCCTCGAAATTGAAATAGTTTTCAAACAATTAGTTAGAGAGGGTAATACATATGAAAAAAAAAATTTCTGCCATGACTTTTCTAAAAATAAGATATTTATAATAAGTTCCATCATTTGTGAATAGTTTCTGAAAGTTTCGCTAAAATCCGACAATTATTTTTATTTTTGCAAGATTTTCCAAATTAATGTGTGACATACAGGAAAAAAACGCACTAAAATTTTATATGTTATTTTATTGGTTTGGTTGATACAAAGAGAAACAAGGTTTTTTTAATCAAAATTTAAAATGTTCTAAAAAGAAGGAAAAATTTTGAAAAATAATTAAAAAATACTTTGATCTTTCCTCTCAATAATAACATAAGCATTTAGACGCTAAAATTTTGTTTTCATCAACTTTGGCATCTTTTTCATCATGCTATGCCCTGTTTTTAGTGATCTCATGAAAGTACCTATAAACTCTCATATTTAAAAGACTTTTCTTAGCAGTGTAAAATAATTAATAATTATAATTAAGTAAAAAGTGTAAGTATATAATTGTTAAATAGTCTGATTCTGTCTTATACACTTTCTTTTGTGAGAAGTGTACTCATGCACTTTCTTTTGTGAGAAGTGTTTTAAAAGAAAGCAAAACGGTTTATTAAAAAATGGTTTATTATTTTGTGTATAAATATTTTTTTATTTAGAATTGGCTCTAAAAAGGAACATTGGAAACAACTTTTCTGATGGACTCTTGTGGATTCATTTTTCAAATTCAAAAAAAAATATATAATCCTTGTATTTTTTGTCTGATGAAAAGGGTGGCTTTCATCATCACAAATTTAAAGGTGTGGTTCGTTGAGCCACTTCTGAGAGTATTCAAGAACACCAGTCAGTGGATAGCATCAGAAAACTATTACTACTTGGTGGAAAAGCAAGAGAAATAAGATGAAAGAAATACTAGTGAAAAATGAATAATAATTGCCAAGGCTTCATCTAAGAAATTCAGACAACTTAAGACTATTACTACTTGGTGGAAAAGCAAGAGAAATAAGATGAAAGAAATACTAGTGAAAAAATGAATAATAATTGCCAAGGCTTCATCTAAGAAATTCAGACAACTTAAGACTATTACTACTTGGTGGAAAAGAAGAGGAATAAGATGAAAAAGAAAAAATGAATAATAAGCCAAGGCTTCATCTAAGAAATTCAGACAACTTAAGACTATTACTACTTGGTGGAAAATAAAGAAATAAGATGACTAGTCAAAATGAATAATAATTACCAAGGCTTCATCTAAGAAATTCAGACAACTTAAGAATATTACTACTTGGTGGAAAAGCAAGAGAAATAAGATGAAAGAAATACTAGTGAAAAATGAATAATAATTGCTAAGGCTTCATCTAAGAAATTCAGACAACTTAAGAATATTACTACTTGGTGGAAAAGCAAGAGAAATAAGATGAAAGAAATACTAGTGAAAAATGAATAATAATTGCCAAGGCTTCATCTAAGAAATTCAGACAATTAAGACTATTACTACTTCAGAAATAAGATGAAAGAAATACTAGTCAAAAAAATGAATAATAATTGACAAGGCTTCATCTAAGAAATTCAGACAAAAAGACTATTACTACTTGGTGGAAAAGCAAGAGAAATAAGATGAAAGAAATACTAGTGAAAAATGAATAATAATTGACAAGGCTTCATCTAAGAAATTCAGACAACTTAAGACTATTACTACTTGGTGGAAAAGCAAGAGGAATAAGATGAAAGAAATACTAGTGAAAAATGAATAATAATGCCAAGGCTTCATCTAAGAAATTCAGACAACTTAAGACTATTACTACTTGGTGGAAAAGCAAGAGAAATAAGATGAAAGAAAATTTCAAAAATGAATAATAATTGCCAAGGCTTCATCTAAGAAATTCAGACAACTTAAGACTATTACTACTTGGTGGAAAAGCAAGAGAAATAAGATGAAAGAAATACTAGTCAAAAAAATAATAATAATTGACAAGGATTCATCTAAGAAATTCAGATAACTTAAGACTATTTTATGGTGGAAAAGCAAGAGAAATAAGATGAAAGAAATACTAGTCAAAAATGAATGATAATTGCCAAGGCTTCATCTAAGAAATTCAGACAAAAAATTAATACTTGGTGGAAAAGCAAGAGAAATAAGATGAAAGAAATACTAGTAAAAAATGAATAATAATTGTATAAAAAATTTTATTAGCAGTATAAAATAATTAAAAATAATAATTAAAAAAAAGTGAGTAAATAAATGATACATAGTCTGATTTCATGCACTTACTATTGCAAGAAATGCATTAAAGGAAACCCAGGTAGTATAGTAAAAAAAAAATTTCATTTTGTGTGTAAAAGTTTCTTTGTTCAGAATTGGCTCTAAAAAGGACTGCTAGAAATAACTGTTGTGGTGAACCTATTTTTACACTTTCATAGTCTTTTGACCCCAATTTTGGGTTAACTATTTTCCCATAGCTGGCATTCTAACAAGTGCTACCACCCCAGGTCAGAGTGGATCTGGGAACACTTGCAATTAAGAGGTGGTTCCACGCTCTTCAAAACCTTCTGATTAGAGTCCTTGTTGTTGAATGTAGTTTATCGTCTTACCCAGGATGCGAATGTAGTTTATCGTCATACCCAGGACAGCAAGTGATTCTGTAATTTTGTTATCTTGCCTTGTCCTTAATAAGGTGCATGAAAGGAAATTTTTGTGCAAGTCTTTTTTGTAAAATTAGTCTGTTATTTCGTTTTGTATCTGTTTAATAAACGTTTGTAACTTAGGAATTTCACAAGGTAGTTTTGAGTTTTTGTTACTGTTTGCGTCTTTTTTAATATTTGCAATAAGAAAGTGAATTTTCTCTGTTCTCCCATTCCCTCCCAGAAAAAAATTAGTCATGGTATAATTTGTAACGGACATGGCCTATCTCTCTGTTTCATTTTGTTTTTTTTGTTTTTTTTTTATACAGGTGCACACTGTGCAAGGCCTGAGGGTCACTCAAAGTAGATGTTTACAGAGTAAGAGGCAGTTTATCCAGATAGGAAGGGAAGATAATGGTTAACCCTAGACATGAACAGGCTAAGATTGCTATGTTCAGGTAAATATTCTCTTTGGTTCCACAGAGTAGTGGTTTGCTGGAAGAAGATGTTCAAGTGGAACTTACTTCTTGCCAATGAAATACGAAGGAAATGAGATTGGTTTGCTACAATGTGAGTAGCATAGCAGATCCTAGTCGTGAAGATTAGAACTTGTGGAACCAAAGAATGCAGTTTGTTTGAGCACTTTCCATAGAAGTAGCTACAGAGCAGTGAGGGACTCACTACATCCTGCCTGTGAGAGCGCAGATGGAGGGTGTGTTATAAGTTGTCACAAGGATACAGAGGCACATTTGGCCTCTATTGAGACTGGAAAGTGACGTCTGTTGTAGAATAAGGAAAAATTAGTCATGAAATTTAAAAATAGGAAAATAAAAAGTCTCCTGAAATAATCATTTATTTTTAAGACATTACATTGTATATTTAAAGGATGCTTGTGTGAAACCCATGCTTGATATGCTTTGGCAATTTTTTGAATGTTTGGCCTGATTTGTGATAAACAGGCTCTCATTTTCTCATCAATGAAATTTATAAAGAATCTGCTATTTTTTTTTTTTTTTTTTAGAGAGGCTGATAATGACTGATTTAAATCCCTTGAGGAAGGCAAACTATATCCACCAGTTGAAATTTAATATATATTTTGACCATTTTCAGCCATTGTACTCTCTGGAATTAATCACATATATTTCGCTCTGGGTAACATACAGCAAATTATTCAATTTCTGGTGGTAGACTGTCATCATTCCACAGCTTGTGTCTAGGGATATTTCGACTAGCAGAATAACCTATAATATTTTATTACTTCTAACCAGGAGAAAATTTAATTTTGGCATTAAATGACCCATATGGAGTTGATATGCCGTTAAACAAGACTTAAGGGTACACTTGTAGAATAACTAAAATGATGGAGCACACTTTAAATTTTAATAAGGAAAATTAGTCCTGAAATTTGAAAATAAGAAAATAATAGAGAAGTCTCCTGAAATAAGCATTTATTTTTATGACATTACATTGTATATTTGAGTATGCTTGTGTGAAACCCATGCTTGATGTCCTTTGGCAATTTTTTGAATGTTTGGCCTGATTTGTGATAAACAGGCTCTCATTTTCTCATCAATGAAATTTATAAAGAATCTGCTATTATTATTATTTTTTTTTTTTTTTTTTTTTTTTTGAAAAATTAGTCATGTGAATTTGAAAATAATAAAGAAATCTCCCAAAATAAACTTTCTTATTTTTAAGATGTATTTTAAACATATAAGTTAGGTGAGATGGTTTTATCACCCATTGTTCAGTAATTTTATGTAGAATCTTTGTATGTAACATGAAATACAGTAATCATAGATGACCATTACTTTGTGCCATTCTACCAAGAAATAATGGTTGAAAGATATTTTGTCTTTATTTCTTTAGATGAGGTATTATGTACACATTGTTTGGACTATCATCCTCATCTTTGTTGCCGTATTTATCACAATGTTTCAGCCGTTGTACACGTGGTTGGAATATCGAACTGAACCCTTTATTTCACTCGTTGGGGTAGACTGTTCTAGTTCCACATGGATGTCAGTTATCAGTTATCTCTTGTTAATTCCCCTCTCTAAGTTCTCCACCACTTTAATCAGGTATTGAACTCACAACTCTTTGGGTCCTGTCACTGGATCTAACTAATGCCATGTGTCCTTGAGGACATCTGTGTATGAATTTCTAGGTATTATAAACCTAATGTCTTCAGCAACCATTTTTTGCTGTTATCATTGCATGTTTTTTACCAGAGCTCATATTGCAATTTTTGTTGTTATTATTGCTTATCTCTGGCATTCCTTATTACTGGTTCCCATATTGTATTCATTTCTATGCTTGGTTGGCTCAGGAGATTTTTGTGGCCTAGCATATGTGCTGATTCCTTAAGTTTACGATTTTCTAATGATGTTCTTTGTCTATAATTTCAAGGCTGAGGATGATAGTCCAAATAATGTAAATAGTGAAAGATATTTTGTCCTTTATTTTTCTCGTAACTTTTATCTAGAGATTCTTGACAAAATCCAAAGAACAATCTACAATGTTTTTGATGATGACTGACATCTTGGCTTCAATCACTTTTAGTTAGACTTGGTAGTTTCAACAGTAAAATGCTGAGACTTAGTTAACAACATAGTACTACACTTAAGTTCATTAAGTTGAATTACCAAAGAGAAAAGCTCATCAAAACAATTAGCATGAAAATATTTATAGAAAAGGCAGAGGGAAGCTATATTATGGCTTAAATTCATAAAGTCTAGCTACCAAAGAGGAAAGCTCATTAGAACAATTACTATGAAAATATTTATAGAAAAGGCAAAAGGAAGCTATATTATGGCTTAAATTCATAAAGTCTAGGTACCAAAGAGGAAAGCTCATCAGAACAATTACCATGAAAATATTTATAGAAAAGGAAGAGGGAAGCTATATTATGGCTTAAATTCATAAAGTCTAGGTACCAAAGAGGAAAGCTCATCAGAAAAATATTTATAGAAAAGCCAGAGGGAAGTTTACACTATATCAGTGGGGAAAGTGAGTAAAGCAGATGCTAAGTCAAGACCAGTAATATTGCAGATTCTTCTTTGGCTTTTTATGAAGAATCTCTAAATGCATAGCAGAAGCACCAGACCAGATGTGCCAGTAATATTCAATGCATAGACAAATGGTAGACTTATTAATGTGTAAAATAGATTCTAGCAAGAAAGATTGTCTAGCACAACAGACATAGAGGCTGATATTACAGACCCTTAATAGGATTTTATTAAGAATCTTGAGATATATAGCAGGAGCAACAGACTAGATGTGGCATCAATATTTGATGTGCGGACAAACACAGCAACTCTTGACAAATCTTACATCTTCCGACTCTTTAGGCTTCAAGTGCTCAGATCAATAAGATGGGATATGCTGCAGTTACAGTAAATAGCAACAAAGGTATCTTGAAATCTACAGTGTTCATCTGGGGAACCCAATAGTCTGCCAATGCATAATACTAAAAGGTTCTTAAATACTAAAAGGTTATTAATTTTGACATTCTTAAATACTAAAAGGTTATTAATTTTGACATTCTTAAATACTAAAAGGTTATTAATTTTGACATTCTTAAATACTAAAAGGTTATTAATTTTGACATTTATTGTTTTAATTTTTCAGTTGATTTTTATTTTTATATTTGTTTTCTTTTTTCGACTTATGGTTTGAATTACATGCAAGGCACATCTTCTACATAACTATTGCCTTTTTTTCTCTTTCTTGTAGATTTCAGAAGAGAGACCCTTTTAGTTTTCTCCCGAAATATCAACATGACGCCATAATGGACTGCAAGCAGGAGGTAAAAAAAAAAACTTCATTATTGTTTTCACAGAGTAATCTTAACTGAGTTTAACCCAAGGCCACAGCAAGAGAGCACCAAATGAAGATCAAACTCACTACTCTGAAGTAATGGTCAACCAGATTAGCTTGTTAAACATTACCCCATACTGAGACAGTGATTGTTGTTTACTATCTTAGTGTGGTTTTGGCAAATGGCAACAAAATTGGGATACCCAGTGAGGATCGAACTCACTACTCAGTAGTAATGGTCTACCAGATCAACTCGCTAATGATTACCTCATCCCAAGGAATACAATGTTAAACTTAGCTGAGTTTAGTACAAGGCCACAAGTATGAGGCACCCAGTGAGGATCAAATTCATTACTCAGTAGTAATGGTCTATCAGACTAACTCACTGAAAATTTCATCCATGTCGAAGTGCCTTCATTATTGTCAAATATCAGATGATTGTATAACAGGAACGCAATCATAATCTTCACTTCCTAATTCCTCCTCTTACATTCATATCACACATCTCATTCAGTAACTCTCTAACTTGAGTGGCTCTTGGGCCTTGTATTAGCTGACCGTTATTATTAAGAAAAAATATTCTCAGTTAATCTTTTCACTGCATTTATTTTCTGAAGTTATTTAAATAAATTTATTTTTTTTAAAAAAAATTATTGCACACAAATTAATTAATTTTAAGTTTTCAGTATTTGAAAATTACAATTATTATTTGAATATCTGTTTAATGCATTAACATCCTGGTATTTGTTTAAATTTTTTTTTTTTCTTGTGATCATTTTGTTTAACGTTTGTATTTTCTTGATTTCAGATGAAAGCTCAGAAATTTTCCAACATATTTCAGTAAAATTTTCCCTTTCTGAAATTATAGTTTATAATTTTATTTAAGCTAGTTCCTGAGGAGGGCTATTGATTCAGCTTTCGTTACAATAGGTAAGGAGGAGTAGATGCAATAAGCAACAACAAACTACAGAAAAACTCAAAATTGATTGCTGCATTAAAGTATTGCATTAATATTTAAGCATGCCTTTTAAAATTTCAATGATAATTCTTCTGCCGCCACTTAATTTAAAGACATTTTGATGTATGTAGGTCCTTACTTTCTGTAAACAATTATTTTTATTTCATGGGTGACTTTTGCTAGATTTGGGAATTAATTTCAATTTTTCCAAATTTATTTCCAATTTATAAGATTTGTCATTGTACAAAAATTTTGTTGCAAAAAATCGAAAACAATTGCAGTAATGAAAACTTGGGAATCTGAAATTTCATGATTGCAGGTCTAGTTTCAACTCTGAATATTTTTAATTTGCTCATCGAATCAGCCTGATGCCAAAATGGGCTACGACCTCTAAAAATAAAGTTGAATACACAGACAATTTTATTTTGGAATGTTGTAATTTGAGAACAGTAATTTTTCATTTGAACATGAGCTATTGAAAGTTAGAGAGTTGTGTCCCTTTAATTATTTTTCTCAGTAGAAGCCAAGATGGCAGAATCCTAAGAAATTTGCAGTAATGAAAACTTGGGAATCCAAAATTTCAGGATTGCAAGTCCAGATCCAGTCCAGAATGTTTTTAATTTGCTCACAGTCAGCCTGATTCCAAAATGGTATGATATGTTGGGCTATGGCGTCTAGGAGTAAAGTTGAAAAAGTGTGACACGGTGACATTTGCATTTATTATATAGATATATGGAAAAAAATAAAGTGTCAGTTTAACCTGACATTTCCCACGCATTATCACCATTTCACTTAAAGTTTGTATTTTCTTGATTTCATTTGAAAACTTGAAAGGTTTCCAATATATGTCAGGCTCATAATTGGAAATTAGCTAGAAGAGTTCAAATTCCACTTGAACTTGTTATGGTTACTTTCTCACAAATATTCTTGAAAAAATATATATACAGGATGTCCATAAAGTTTGTGTGCACTTTAAAAAATTTATAACTTTTTGTATTTGCAATAGAAATAATCTGTAAAAAATATAAAGGTTAATGTAGCTAGTTTTAAATAATTTGTAAAAAGGATTAGAAAGAAGTAAATCTATATTTTTAAAGATTTTATTGAAATTTTATTTAAGTTTCCACATATCCTCCATCATTAGCAATACAAAGGGTAATACGATTTTGCAGTTCACGGAAAACACTTCCCAACTGATTTACAGTAATGCCTGAAAACACATTAGTTATTTTAGCTTTACTTAAAACTAGGTACATTAAACTTTATAACATTTTTTACAGATTATTTCTATCGCAAATACAAATAAAGTTATAAATTTTTTAAAGTGCACACGAACTTTATGGACACTCTGTATATATTTATAACATATGAAGCCAAAGTAATAGTAGGTCAGACTGGGCTCTCTATTCATGTTTGGGAACCAGTCTAGGAGAATTGATTGATTTGTTTTCTATGGCTTATCAGCCCTTTGCAAGTTGTTTTAAAGCCAGAAGATATTTTTAGATTGTAAGAATTATTTTGAGAAAATAATAGCTTAGTGATACAAGTATTATTAATTAACCCATAGCTGGGGGAGAAGTTGATTCATACCTTTCCTAAGAGTATTTGTGCATAAGTGAATATAATGAACCCAACAGAGATTGGAACTCAGTACTTCAATTAACAATTCTGAGCCATTATCCATTACACCATCTGCATATCCAATCTTAGAGCATTAGGTATTCCCAAGTGGTCATCCATCTAGATACTGACCACAATCAATGTAGCTTAACTTTGGTGATTGTATGGGAACCAGTGTTTGAATGTGATGTGGCCATAAGCCATTTTTATCTGCACATATAACCTTACAGCATCTGGTATTCCAAAAGCAGTCACCCATTTAGATAATGACCAGGCTCCATGTTGCTTAACTTTGGTGATCATATGACAACCAGTGTTTGAATGTGATGTGGCCATAAGCCATTTTTATCTGCACATACAACCTTACAGCATCTGGTATTCCAAAAGTGGCCACCCATTCAGGTAATGACCAGGCTCCATGTTGCTTAACTTTGGTGATCATATGGGAACCAATGTTTGAAAATGATATGGCCATAAGCCCAGTCTAAGAGAAGATCAATTCTGAATACAAAAACCATATGTTATGGCAAGTTGGTGTTTCTGGGAAAAGCACTCAGCCACATGGTTTGTTAGACATGGAGTGAAGAGACAATGTCTGTAACACAATTCTGGATGGATCCCACTGGTGAGAAAACATCCAGATTGTTGTTGACAAGTATTGGATCCAAAGAAATTCAATGAATAAAGAAATATGGAAAAAAGGAAGTCGTCACTAGAGGGCGCTGTTCAACAACTATAAAAACTGCACGCTTCCAGTCTTCAGCCTCTTCTCTCTCTTTTTCACTCAGCTTGCTGTTGCGACGGCATCTATGGGACTTTGTTCCCAAGCATGGGGATATTTTCCCCTTAGTGACTGAACTTTCAGACACACACACACACACATGTATCACCTGCACAATTGCTAACTTAATTTTTTTTAATTTCTTTTGTATGCATACTAGACTTTTTTTTTTCTCTGGTTTCTCAGTTATCTAAAAACAAAAATATAAAATATTGCCTTATTCATTTTCTTACATCATTTTCACCCCAAACAAGGCAATAAAGCCACTAGGATGCAAGAAGTTATTGCGTATTAGAAAATATGAGAAAAACTATTATTAAGGAGAGAAGACAATAAAAGAACGAGAATTAAGAAGACAGAAGATAACAATTGACATTGCATTTAAATTTTTGAAGCTCAAAGGCAATAAAGCCACTAGGACGCAAGAAGTTATTGAGTGTTAGAAAATATGAGAAAAACTATTATTAAGGAGAGACGACAATAAAAAAGACAAAAGACAGAAAATAACGATTGATATTGCATTTAAATTTTTGAAGATCACACTTAACTGTGAAGCAAGAAACCAGAAGAGTTTCACAAGTGAGAAGTGTGAGAGAAGAAACTGTTAGCATAGGACTTACAATTACTTCTAGCCATTTCAACTGTAAAATGATGAGACTTTGCTGCCAATTTAGTACTATTCATAAAGCCCAGGTACCAGATAGGAAAATTCATCCAAACAATTACCATGAAAGTATTTATAGAAAAGGCACAGGGAAGCTATGTCACAGCAGTGGGAAAGACTGAAGCTGAGATGCCAGGTCAAGACCAATAACATTGCAGATTCTTCTTTGGATTTTATCAAGAATCTCTAAATATATAGCAGAAACACCAGACAAGATGTGGCAGCAATATTCAAAGCAAGGATGAACGGTAGACTTATAAATATGGAAGATAGATTCTTCTTTGGATTTTATCAAGAATCTATAAATATATAGCAGAAGCACCAGACCAGATGTGGCAGCAATATTCAAAGCAGGGATGAATGGTAGACTTATAAATATGGAAGATAGATTCTTCTTTGGATTTTATCAAGAATCTCTAAATATATAGCAGAAGCACCAGACCAGATGTGGCAGCAATATTCAAAGCAGGGATGAATGGTAGACATATAAATATGGAAGACAACTTGTGCAAAATATTGTTGCCACTGTTTTTAGTTTAACGAGGAGCTGTACCTGCAATAAAGGTGTAAGTTTAAGCAAGAATTTGTAGAGAGCCATGATTGATTAATGTTCATGAAAGGAGGCATGTAAAAGAAAGTGTTTTATTATATCAACTAATTCTGATATGAAAAGCTGAAACGAGAATTGTTATTGTATTATTTTATTTTTCTTTCAGATTGAGTGGCTGATGCGGGATGAAATTGTATGTGCCCTTCGCTATGTTTACCCAATAAAGGAAGACAAACTGCAGATGGTTACTGAACATGTACAGGAGTCATTTCAACTGGGGAAGACAAGTTGTTACATTGAAGAAGTCACCCCACAATTTGTGTTTGGATCAGATCAGAGCCTTAGCCGATTCCTTGATGTGAGCTGTAATTTTTTTTTCTTACACAATGTGTTTTACTTAGTTACCTCTCGTATGTGTAGGTATGTGTGTGTGTGTGTGTGTGTGTATATATATATATATATATATATATATATATATATATATTATATAATTATTTTTTGTGAATCAGTTAATGGATCTTTTTATTTCCTGCCTGAATTTTTGGGATGAGGAATTATCATTATTTCCATTATTTAAAGTCAGACTAATATCCTCATCTTTGTTGTTTTTATCACAATGTCTTAGATTTTTTTTCTTTTCTCAGTTTTAGAGACTTTGATTTTTTTTTTTTTTTGGTTTCCGTGTTTTTTTTTGTTTTTTTTTATCAGTTTCAGTGTTTCGTGTTTTTTTTTTTTTTTTTCCCCGGTTTCAGAGTTTTTTTGGTTTTTTTTCTTTGGCTTTTAAATCATAGACATTTCATTATGATCCAAACTACCTGTTATCTGATGCCTGGTGCTGACAACAAGTTTATTTGCCGTTATACTTTTAGTGTGAAAACAATGTTAAGACTTCAGTTGAAATTATAAATCAACTCCTAAAAAAGTTTTCTTTCCGAAATTTGTCTATTATAAAGTTGGCATTTGATGTCAAATTTTGTAATTGACCTCTAGCAGTCGATGTGCCAAATTTGGATACAAGTCCAGACAAACCATTGTGTAATAATAATAATAATGATTACTATTATTAATAATAATTGTTTCAATAACCCAGATGTTTTGTTTTTAATTAACAGGAGCTTCAGAGAGTAAATATCAAGGATTATCGTTTCAAGAAGGAAGGCTCGTTTTTTTACTTGGTCCTCACCCGAGCAATGGCTGCCCATTTTCTTGCTCTTAGCTCGGCTGTTTGTTCATTGGATGATACTAACCAAACACCAGAAAAAACAACAAAAAAATCTACCCCTGATGACAGCAGGGGAAAACTTGCTGTTCCCCAGAAAATTTTGTCCAGGTAAAATTATAAATATTTTTAAGGAATTAATGGAGTTTATTTTTAATCTGATATTTTTATAATTTCAAATAAAAATAAAACCTTTTTAAAATAAAGATTGTCACAGTAATAGTGATATCAAGAGAAAAAGCATGATTTTGATCTACCATTTTTTTTCATGTACAAATTGTATGTTGCTGAGTTGGACATCATCCGCTCTTTGACAGGTCTTGTTTTTTGTCCTGTGGGGTGACATGCCACTCTCATCACCAACAGAAAGGCTAGTAGGGGAGCTGGTTTAGATATTAACCATATCTCTTTGCAACAGATTGTACTGGGTTACATGTTACCAGTAGCAGACCTAAGCCTGGCTAGACAGTGTCTGATCAAGTGGTTCTCTATTGTACAGTTGGTTAGAGTGTCCTAGGTCTAACACTAGTTCTCTCTGCCGAGAGGGATGCATGTTTGAACCCTGCCGAAGACCACAAATTTTTCTTTAGTATGATTTCTCGAACATTCCGTCCAGTAGACAAAAATAAATATACTGTTTAATAAATAAATGGAGCATCTACTCAAATATGAGTATCCACTAAAAATAACATTTAAATCATCATCAGTCACATAACCGCATGTGGTCATGGGATTACCACGCAGCAGAACCACTGATCAGTTTTCACCACATATCTGGGTTAAAAACAACAGAGGTATTCATATGCAATGTGTCTGTGACAAGTAGACCTGGTGGAGCTCATTCTTCTCCAGATGAAGCCACAACTGATGCCCTCTTGAAAGCTTGCTTTGGTCTTCCTCATGTGACTGTTGATTCCATTTGGTGAATTCTACTGCCCTGACCATTGACTTCATTCTAAGATGTCCTGGGTGTGATGATAAACTACATTTGGCAGCAAGTCCTCTGATCAGGAGATTAGAGGTGTTGAGGAGCATGAAACCACCTCTTAATTGCTGTTGTTCCCAGGTCCACCCTGACCAGGGGTGGTAGCACCTGTTAGGATCCAAGCTATGGGCAAATAGTGAACCCCCCAAGCAAAAACACTATGAAAGTATAAAAATACATTTTGATATTAAAAATACCAACCAGTAATACATTTTTATATAAAAAAAAGACCAACAGTACATATTTATAGTAACATAACCAACAATACATTTTTATAGTAAAATGACAAACAATACATTTTTATATTAAAATGACCAACAATATATATTTATAATAAAATGACCAACAATACATTTCATCTGTTGATTATAATTGAAGGCATACAATTGAGTTCAAAATATTATTTGAAGCCAGAAAATTGTGTTCAAATTATTTAGATTTTCGCATAAAGTAACCCTTAGAAGTTGATATGTCACTAAACAAAATCAACCAGCCAACAACCAACATGAAAGGACACTTTCTTGACATTCATTCATATATAATATCCAACAATTTCTTAAATTAAGCTGTATTCCAAAATATAACTTAAAAAAGCTACAACATAAAACATGTATATCACCACCTCTAGTAGTTATGTCCACACAAATATATATATATGCACAAAAGCTGAGCATCATCTACCGTGCATTCAATTGTGAAAGCAGAATAACATATATCATATTTGAAGCCATAATATTTAGATTTCGGCATTAAATGACCCATAGAGATTGATATGCCGCTAAACAGAATCAGCCAACAAACATGGAAGAATTCTTTCATGACATTAATCCATATAATCCTCCAATTTCTTAAATTGAACTGCATTCCAAAATATAACTTCAACAAAACTACAACATAGAACATGTATATCACCACCTCTAGTAATTATCTCCACACAAACATATATGCACAAAAGCTGTCTGTCCTGGGTATGATGATAAACTGCATCCGCGTCCTGGGTAAGATGATAAACCACATCCAACAGCAAGGCCTCTGATCAGGAGGTTTAGAGGAGCGTGGAACCAACTCTTAATTGCTGGTGTTTCCGGGTCCACCCTGACCCGGGATGGTAAAACCTGTTCGGGTCCAAGCTATGGGAAAATAGTTAACCCTGAAACTGAGGTAAAAAGCATTATAAAAGTGTAAAAATACCAGAAATAATACCAGAATATTAATATTAATTATATTATAAGATATATAATAAATTAAATTATAAATTAAATTATAAAATATATAATAAATTATAAAATATTATAAAATATAGAAATAATACCAGAATATGAATATTAATTAATATTTTAATACCAGAAATACTTTGTAAAAAATTATTACCAGAAATAAAATTTTTGAAGAAAAAAAACTATTACCAGCAATACATTTTTTAAAATAGTATTACTAGCTGTACATTTTTGAGAAAAAAAATATTACCAGAAATAGATTTTTGACAAAACAAAATATTACCAAGAAAAATAGTTGTCGGCATTAAATAACCCATTAGTGTTGATATGCTGTAAAACAAACCAAACCAAACAAAATCTGAGTATCATCTACCATAGATTCAATTGTGAAAGCAGAATAACTTATATTTTTATTACTTTAAAGCTCACAAGAAATTAAATTTCAACATTAAATGACCCATAAGGAGGTGATATGTCGTTAAACAAATCAAGCAACCAAATCATTCTAGGAAACCTTCTACCCAGTGATGTTGTGTCATCACTGCACTGGCTACATCCATAGCTATGGAGCCCAGTCTACCCCATTGTGCTTAATAACCATTTACTTTACAAGTCCATCCACCCTTTGACAGGTTTTGTTTTTAATTCTGTTGAATGTTTAACCACCTTCCTGACCATAAAAGCCTGGTGGGGGAACCTGTTTAGCTGCCTATGACCTAACTATGCAGCAGATAGTCCTACTTGGTAGTAAGACCAATTCACTGAAGATTATCTGACAGCAAGCATGTGTTTCCCAAATCAATTATTTAGTAAAAATACAATTGGGTATGAGTTACCTAGTTAGGAGGAGACTTGTTACACTGTTATGACGCTAGAATAGTCCAGTCATTACCCCTATGTCAAGGTGGCTTGAATTATCTTAATACAGTGACAGGATTATTATCAGCTTCTCTTGATTTAATTGTGGCTGAAAAGAAAATCCCAACCTATGGGTTAGATAGTAAGACTTGTTTTTGTAAAAATCATTGTTATTCTCAAAAATATATTTTGACTTTATGTAACCTACAAAGGGTTCAGCACCCCCCAATGAACCCTCAAAATTTCAATATCAAAATGACAAATTTTTTCTCAATAGTTTTGAGGCAAAGAGTGGAAAAAGATGTTTAAAGAGAATCAAGCTGACATGATTAACAATTAAATCTATTCCCCACTTACTTATTTTTTTTTTTTTTTTTTTTTTTTTTCATCCCTCAGATGTATCAGCGATTCCTGTCAAGACTGGAGGGACAGTTCCGGGAAATCAGGACTTGATGGACGAGAAGCTGCTGATGTCTCAATTCAGCTAACAAATGAGGAAGGCTTGAAGGAAGTGTGTCCGCTTTCCCCTGAGAGGGTAGCCATGTTGAACAAAATGGACTCCCCATGTTTGCTTCCTGACTATGATGAAAACGTTTTGAATTTCTTCCAGCTTTTTAAATGAATTTTTTTTTTTTTTTTTTCTCATGTTTTGTTTTGCTATGTCTGCTGCTAACAAAGTTGGTTCACTGTGTTGTGCCAGACAATTTTTCTCACCAGAATCCATCTTGAATAAATGTACCATTTGTCCATGCATAGAATATTGCTGCCATATCTGATCTGGAATATCTGTAATACATTATGAAATGGACAAAGTCCGACAATTATTTTAAGACATTTTTATGTTTATACATTCTTTTATAGATACAAATATTTAAGTAAATGCTCTGTTTATAATAAACAGTATTAAAACAACATTTACTGGCCTGGATGTCTGAGAAATTGGCATAGAAAATGTGTCCTCTGACAGGAATCTAACCTGTATATCTATATGGAAGCATCATATAGCCTGACGTGCTTTTACCAATTGAGCCACAGAATCTCTTTTTTATTTTAGCAAGGTCGATTTTACTGATTTTTAAACTTACAATTATCCATGATTTTCTCTAAAGGAAATCTTTTTCACTTTTCTGCTCAATGCATATCCCATGAATTGAAAATGGAACAAAATGTTGTCTTAACAATTATTTAAAGAAATTTTATGTTTGAACATTTTTTTTTTATAGATACAAATATTTAAAACTGCTCTGTTTATAAGTAAACATAATTAACAACATTTACTGGCCTGGTTGTCTGAAAAAATTGTCATAGAAAATAGTAATCCTCCAACATTCAAACCTGTAATCGAACTGTCATATTGTCTGTAAATCAAAAGAATTTTGCCAAAGAGAAAAAATTTTTGGTTAAAAAAAATCGATTTTACTGTTTTAAACTACAATTTTCCAAATTTTCTCTATGTACATTCATATCTGTTTGATACATAAATATTTGTATTTATAAAAAAACAATGTATAAACTTTAAAAATGTTTTAATATAATTGTTAAACTTTGTCCATTTCATAATGTGTGATTTTTCATTTGTTTACATTTTTGGACAGTTTTTTTATATAAAAAAAAAGAATTTTATAAACATAAAAATGTCTTAAAATTCCTGTAATGTATCTATAGGGGTTAGCTATAACACCTTACTGCATTTATATTAACACAAATGTAACAAAATAAACGACAAGATAACAACGAAGTTCAAGGAAAAATATGCATTAACAATGAATAGATTATATTTATATACAATAACAAGTACGATATTTGTTGAGTGTAGTATTTTAAATTGTTTATGTGTTTCATGGTTTGAATGTCAATAATATTTTAGATCAAAAGGTGGTGTGTTAAAATGTCTGCTCAAATATTTATTTTTAAGTATATTAAAGTATTTAAAGTATTTATGGTGAATTTAAAACCCATTGTGTTTACAAATAATTTTAAATTTCAAATTTTAATGAGTTTGAAAAGATTTAAATTTCTTTGATTAGATATTTTATATTGAGTTTTATTTTTACGTTTTCAGTCATTAAGTTTGTTTGTAAATATAATGGAATAACCTATTTTAAAATGAGTGACTACAAAAGAGTAAAATTTTAAAAGTATCTGTAAGTCCACAGACTACAGACAAACATTTTGATCTGTTTCAGCTAAACAGTAAGTCAACTGCCTTTTTTAAAAAGGAAATACTTAAAAAATTAACTGGTTTGTTTAAAATATCGGGGAAATAGACTGAACCCTGAACCCGTTTTCATGAATTGAAATAAAAAATATTTTGTGAGAATATGAAAAGAGAACCCAAGTTAAACCGGCCTTGTATTAACATGCAACCCTTTTGGTGGGGTAGCTAGATATACTAAAAAAAAGTTTAAGAAAAAAAATCAAACTTTGAAAATTTGGGCAGAGAGGAATGTCCAAATTTTCTGCCATAAATGACAGTCTTTTTGGGGAGGTTTATGAAATGAACCTGTCAATAAATATGGGTTCAAATTGGAATACATTTTGGCTGAGCCTGTTTGTTAAATATTAGTTATTTAACCCAATTTTTTTGTTTAATTTTTTTTTTGCAAAATGCATTTTTTTTTTTTGGATGTCTCTTTTAAATATACTAGCTGGGGTCTGTTTTTACAATTTTTAAAAGAACTATTGACCTTCCAATAACAGCATAGAACTACTGAATTGACACACAACGACCTTGTGCAAAACTGTTTCTTTTATTCTTAAATACTAATTTTTATTAAATTTTTCTCAAAGCAATTGAACTAAAAATTGTCCTCATCTTTGTTGCCATATTTATTACAACAAATGTCCCCATTGTATACTCTGGCCTTCTTCAGGTCAGGTTGGAATCTTCAAAATTGTATTTATTTCTGCTCATAAAACTGTTCTAAAAGTTCCACAGTTAAATTTTAATGCAAAGAGTGTTAGGGAAATTTAACAGGAGATAACTGATAACTGACATGTTACAAGATCACTGAAGTTAAGCAATGTTTAAACTGTTCAGTACCTGTATAGGTGACTGCTTGGGAATACCTGATGCAGTCAGATTTGATTTGTCAAAAATCTATTTCAGAAAGTTGGAAATCATGTCTGACTTCAATTCCTGATTGGGTTCATTATATTCATCATACATGCAAAACCAATGGGGAAAGGTATGAATTTAAGAATTCTCCTATAGCTATGGGTTAATTAATGTTAAAACTTGTATCATAAATCAAAAATATTTTTCTCCCACCAATTCTTATGATCTAAAAATATTCTCTGGCTTTAGATAACCTGCAAAGGGTTGATATACCATAAAAAATAATCAATCACTGAAATACTGATTCACTTCACAGGCATGCCTTTTAGATTTATTTACATTTTCTGGAATATGAATGTATAGAAACTATACTCAAAGTGAGGGATCAGTTTATATATTGATAGTAACATAAAATTGATCCCCTACTTTATAAATACGTTAAAACCCAATTATATATGTATCCACCTCTTCTCCTCTCTGCTATGGGTTAATTAGTAAGATTATTATCCTTATTAGTTAAAAAAAAAAGTAATTCTTCCAATCTAAAAATATTCTCTGGCTTTAAATAACCTGTGAAGGGTTGGTAAGCTGTAAAAAACAATCAATATTAAATCTATAGGGTGTCCCCAAATTTTGGGCCTGTAATGTATTTGTATATGAATTTATTCAACTAGTAATTAAATTCACTGATCGTCTTGCTAAAAAACAAAAAAAAATTAGGGAATATTTTACGGGCTTAATAATTTTTGTATGTTAGCATTCCTTAAGCCATGACCTTTGACAGAATTAAAAAAAATATTGATTTTAAAAGGGGACAGCTGTTCATTTTATATATATATATATATATTAAAAAGAAGAGAGTTTATAAACGTTTTTTATTGTATATATATATATATATATATATATATATATATATATATATATATTAAAGACATTTTTATTTATGTTTAACGTTGTTATTTTATAGATACAAGTATTTAAGCAAATGCTCTGTTTATGATAAACAGTATTAAATAACATTTACCGGCCTGAATGTCCGAGAAATTTTCTTAGAAAATATTCGTTCTTAGACAGGATTCGAACCTGCATCCTATACGGAACCGTCATATACGCTGACGTGCCTTAACCTCTTCGGCCACAAAGAACCTTTGGTAGACAAGGTCGAATTTACTGCTTATAAACTTCAATCTTCCATGAATCTCGTACATTCATAACTGCTCTGGCGTATCAAATGTAAACAAATGACGTCATATGTTAAGAAATGGACGAGGTCCGACAATTTATTTATTAAAGACATTTTTATTTATGTTTAACGTTGTTATTTTATGACGGTTCCGTATAGGATGCAGGTTCGAATCCTGTCTATGAACGAATATTTTCTATGAAAATTTCTCGGACATTCAGGCCGGTAAATGTTATTTAATACTGTTTATCATAAACAGAGCATTTGCTTAAATACTTGTATCTATAAAATAACAACGTTAAACATAAATAAAAATGTCTTTAATAAATAAATTGTCGGACCTCGTCCATTTCTTAACATATATATATATATATATATATACACACACACGTATATTTTGGCAGCATGTTTTTCTGTCTACTTATTTTTTATAAGATCCTTTCATATTTGTGAATAAGCTTTTGAGTGCAGTTGAGAAGAAAACATTGTGTTTACTCATATTGTATTTATTCCAAGTACTTTTAACATAGCATAATGTCATCATCAGGGTATTATATAGAGTATGCATTTAGTGTTCATGGTTGTGAATGACAAAAATTGTTGTGGTCATACGAAGATTACCATTTTTATATGTGGAGTCACAAACACTATGTCATGGCTGGTTGACAGACACTGTTTAAGGGGAGGTAACTAGGTATACTGTAGAAAAGTTCTGGGCTTGATTAGTTGCTAGATAAAGGAAAAACTATTAATCACTATTTACATTATTCGGACTATTGTCCTCATCTAGAAATATATTTATTACAACGTTTCATATTGTTGTATTTCTCTGGCCTTCTTCTGGTGGTTGGAATGTCGAACTGAACCCTTTAAAATAATCATATGCCATGTCTATTGGATGTCAGTTATATAGTTATCTCCTGTTAATTTCTCTCCAAGTTATATTTATAAATATAACCAGGTATTGAACTAACAATCTTTGGGTCCTGCCACTGGATCTAACTAACATCCTTGAGGACACATGGCACAGTGGATAAAGTTGTTAGATAGATCCAGTGAAAGGAAAAAGAATGTGAGTTCAATACCTGGTTAAGGCAATGGAGAACTTGGAGAGGGAAATTAACAATAGATAACTGCTAATTGACATCCATTAGATATGGCATGGAACTAGAACAGTCTAAATACTATATTTTGAAATAAAAGGTTTCAAAAATATTCCAGTTAAACCTGTTCATGATAGCTGACCTGAGATGGAACAAATACATTGAGTCAATTGCTTCTTCCACGAATAGGAAAGTTGGCTCTCTGGTCTGCGCCAGGATTTTTTTCTCCTGGAATAAATACTTCAAATATACAAATCAACTATTCGTCCTTGCATGGATTATATTGCCTAATGCCATATATGGATAAATGGGGCACCTGTTTACCATACAGAGTTCTTGACGGATGAATGTAATATAATTGGCCCTGATCTGGCATATGCCGTCTACAGTCAATCTCTCACAAGATTTTTCTCTCTCTGTCTTTTCTACAAATACTTTCATTGTAATTGCTCCGATGAGCTGCTAAACTGGTTTAAAGACTCCATGAATTCAAGTGCCCTACGAGGCTGGCATCCCCTCCCCCCCCTTACACTGTAAAAATTTTTAAATGTAGCCGATTCTCTTCTACTCCAATAACTGTGGAAAGAATAAGGGTTACTCTCTCATCTGTGGAACACCCTTCCCAATTACATTTTCTCTGAGAGCTATAATCTCCAACTATTCAAATGTAATGTCAATCAACATCTCCAGTTGCCTTGATCTACCCACTATCCCTCTCCTCATCCTTTCTTCTATCACTCCCTATCTGCTCTTGCTCCAAATCTTCTGCAACTCCTATTTGCATCCCTGATGGCTTTTACGTTTAATAAATTAAATATAATCTTAAAAAAAAAAAGAAAAAATACAACAGCCGAAACATAATAAATATGGCAACAAAGTTAAGGACAATAGTCTGAGTAATGTAAATAGTGTACATAATACCTCATCTCAGAAATTTAGACAACACTATTAATGACAAGCACTAACATTTACAGACTATCTATTGTACGCATTTTAAAGTGTTTGCGGAGTATTCGTAATTAATTTTATTGAGGTTTAGTTTCAATTTTTTGGAATAAATAGTTTTGATAATTTTTAGTTTGTGTTTATTTTTATTCTTAATAACTATGAATACTAAATACTTATATTTAATTACATTTATTATTTAATTATATTTAATTATATTTATAATTATATTTAACAATATTCTATTCTGTTAATATTTCTTTTCTATCAGTTTTGATGCCGAAGGCTGTCGCAAAGTCCAGCATCATACCATTGCCAGCTCAGACAAATACCTCTCTACAATGGCTCCTGTCTCAGTGTCGTCGACTCCTGCTGTAGCTGCTGCAGCTGTTGTGCCTTCTGGAGCCAGCGGTATGACTGTGAAACACCTGACCAGCTCTCCCATGGCCCACCTCACCTGTAGGGCGAGGCACTCATCAGCTCCAACAGCTGCCCAGAAGAATGTTACAGGGGCTTCTAGTCAACCATCAACCATGCCAGCCACTCCATCTTGGATTTCCTCTCGTGGAAGTTTTACTGAAGAAGGTAAGATGGTGTAAAAAAAAAAAAAAAAAAAATCAGTAATCTTTCCTCTTTTTATTACCATCAAAATGATTGTTTTTTTTTTTTTTTAGGGATAAAAAAACATTGATAATCTATATTTTGTGTTGGCAGTACAGAGGAAATAATGGCATTGCTTTTATCTATGGTTCTGATAAAATGTTTGCATATGTCTGGTGGATTCTCCTGTCGTATTTGATGTATCAGGATCAAGCAACTCAGTTCCTAGGAACTGACATCCCAGACACCAGTACATATGATTTGATTATAGTGGTGAAGGTTTTGTGCAGGACCATCCACACTTTTTGAAGGGCAAAATACAGAGACCTGGTGCACTAAGTGCCACAAGATTCCCAAACGACCCTCCACAGGTTTTGAATTCAGAGTTGTCCTTCTCCTAGACTAGTTGCCATCCAAGGTTATAGAACCCAGTCTGTCCTGCTATTTACCCATATCTGAAAGGAGTAGAGGATTAATACCTTTCCCAAGGGTATTAGTATGTAAGTGAATGTAATGGATTCGACTGGAATTCAAACTCGACTCTCAAAACTGTTTTAGAAATAAAATAAAAACTGGAATGTTTTCACCATATGAGGTAATATGATTACCAAATATCAATTTGATATTTTTTTGGAAAGCAAAGGTATGAAGTACCAAATTTGACAAATTCTGCTATTTTCAAATCAGAAAAAATTGACCAAATTGACCAATTGAACCAAATGGTAATGAAAGCTAAAATTTTAGGTTTTTAGTTTTAGGTGGGTATAACATATTAATACTTTAACAAATCTGTGGGTGATGGCCATGAAATCATTGGTTGAGTTTTTATGGAATTAATATATATATATATATATATATATATATATATATATATAATAAAGAAGTTAATGGTCAGAGTTGAATTAAACCAGGAAACAGTAGTATTTAAAAAGTACTCAGTATACATATAAAAAGACTGATACATTTCCAATTCACTTGATTTTCCCCTTCTCCTCACCTTCTACGTAACGTTGTGTGCTTATTCATTTATTTATTTTTTTAAAAATATAGTGTTCATAAAGTTTTTTTTTTATTTTTAAAAAATAAAGCGATAGAAAATCAATTGACCAAAATTGCCTGAAGATACTGAAAGGTTGAAAAACCAAGGTAGCGGAATTGGATGATTCCTAATTTTTCTACACAAATATATATATATATATATATATATATATATATATACACACACACACACACACACACACACACATATATATATATGCACATATACACACACACATATATATATATATATATATATATATATATATATATATATATATATACACGTTTCATTAAATAATATAGACAAGTGTTGTCTATTTATTTTATGTAAATTTTTCGTAACATCTGATAAGTTTAATAACATTATCATTAAACGAAGAAAGAAATTCACAATATTGATCCATATTTTTAATATAATCTAAGCTTTTAGCCTTTACTTACTTTTAATTATAAAAAAACTGAATATATTATACAAAGGTAATATCACTCTTCCTAACAAAACTGATAAATACATTAACCTTTCCAACTATGAACTAACTAAGCACCAAAAAGAATTACTTAAATTGGACCTAACTGCCATATATATATATAAGTACAATATATATTTTTTAAAAATAGAAATTGAGACCCTATACCAAAACATCGTTAAACTCCAGGATGAACAACTAATAGAAACTAAACCAGAATTTAAAGACTTACTTTTCATAGGCATTCAAGGATCGGCATGATAGAAGCAGAAACTCCTCAAAAATTCTTTCTAAACAACTGAAAATTGCTTTATAAGAACTACGTAACCACCCATATGACATTATTGTAAAAAAAAAGCTGATAAGACCAACATTTTTTGTCATCCTAAACAAATTGGATTACAACAAAAAACTAGACCACATACTCCATGATCAATAAAGTTTAAAAAACTTAACAAGAACCCGACCAACCAACTAAAATCAATTATTTAATAAACTTATTAATGCTAATAATGCTGAACAGAACTCTTTAAAACTCCCTAAAATTGTTGGTGATTATAGTACAATAATTTAAATATATGGATAAAGAAGGTGAAAAATTCAAAAGTAAAATCTGGAGACATAGTGGGATCACGAATTGTAAATCAGAGTTACCAAAATCAAGCAAGTGCAACAAGAGGACGGGAAAGGAGACACTGAAATCTGAAGGTGCATTGGGATACTGAAAGATACCTCCCAAAAGCTAAGCAAAGTATTAAGAAACAGGAAATTTTTGTTAGAAACAAAACAAAAAAAAAGTACTGAACTATTGTTTAATACCAGTCCTTCTATGTGGCAATGCTGGACAATCTCTTCACAGATGAAGAGACATGAAGCAATAGAAAAGAATACTGAACTGTTATGTAATATAAGTCCTCTTATATGGCAGTGAATGCTGGACAATCTCCTTACAGATGAAGAAGAGATTTTGGGCAACAAAAATGTGGTTTTACAGAAGGATGCTGAG